TAATCTCTATGCATAAGTAGAAAACTGCAACTCAAAATATTACATTGATGTCTAATTAGGAATCTGATACCTTAATAGCTGGCAATCCATGCATTGCTAAGCAGGACCTGTCATGATTATTGGTATGATTGTAGATGATTAGTAGGCCTACCCCCCCAATTGTATAAAACTATATTCCTACCTCTATAGCTTCAACAATAAATGCTGTAAAGGGTCTGTGGTTGTGGTCTGTATAAAAATAAAAGCTTCTTTACTCATCAAAGATTCTGGCTGCTGCTTTAGGACTATACTAAACCTTTAATTGAGATAGTATAAATAAAAGACAAAAATGAATAAAGCAACAAAATAGATGTAAAGATGCGTATTTAGCTTTTTTTAATGCTAATCCTTGAATATTTTTTCTTTTTTAATTGGGAGAGTTTAGCATCCTCCAGGATCAGACAATCTCCAAAGCTGCGCCGCTGAGATGTGCAGTAGGCTAAATCTAGCTTTATCACAGGAGCCAGACTTGTTTTATGCAAACAAACAGCAGTGTCAGAAGAATATGAATAGAGCAGACAACACAAATTGGCTTAGGCTTTTGACTGAGACTGCCTCAGCCGATAAGAGTCAAAGTGAAGAAACGGGGGATATTTGTAGAGTGTTTACATAAAATTCTTGATTTTGAAATGGATGAATCAGAATATCAGAGAAAAGCTCTAAGACACAATTATTCTTTGTGAACTGAGGTGCAAATATCAAACAACAGGTAAAAAAACACACAAAAGCATTAATTATTTAGACTATTCTGCTCCAAGGTCTCTCCAGAAGGCATAAAATGAGAGTTCTCGTCTGACAACTTTGAAATTATATTAAAGTCAAACTGACGATAATCAGTAAATACTCTGATCAAAAGGCAATAACTTTTTAATATAAGAGGTAGAGATATTCTGTTAAGTAGATGTGCTCATTTTGAAAACATCCAAAGAGGCAATGGTCTGATCCATCACATTAAAAACCTTAAATTATATTTTTTCTTTTCTTACTGTAATTTACATTTAAAAAAAAAAAAACACAGATCCCTTGAATCCACTAAATAATGACTTTTTCTGAGCCATATTGTTGAATTAATCTTTTTCAATTTGCCTGCTTTATTTGTTTGTTCGAGCACCAAAATATAAAAGAAACATTAGAAAATGCTTTCAGCAGTAGTCATGAAATGTTTTTCATCTACCTGGGGCTGCTTATTGTTTGTGAATTTACCACAGCAGGATATCTAATCAATGTTTTCAATTCAAGGTCTAAATCCAAGAGGCACTTGTTCATTCCGTAGTAATTACTAGGCATAGACATAGCTGATAAACCTTTAATATTACCTCACATGCAATTAAACAGTTTTTTTATGTGTACTGACATGCATTTTTTTACACTTTTAGAATGGTCAAAAATAATGTTCCTGAAGGTCACTTTGGTGCAAGCTATCAAAAAGCTTTTTTTCTTTGCTCTCAAATAGACCATCTGCTTAAATAATTTTGATTACCTAAAATGTCAAAGTTAAAAGGAGAAACTAAACACATCAGTTGCCCACATTGCATTTTGAATTAGATCAAGTTCCCTGGCTATTGATTTTGCATGGGGAAAAAAAGACTGATAAATTAGTTATACTCGTAATTGCTTTAACTTCTACCAAGAGCCTTCATCTGATCTGCTCATTATTGTTCTACAGAGCCAACCTAACTCTACCTTCCAATGTTTCTCTATCACATTTGTGAAGATTTTCTTTTTTTGTCTTCACTTTTGTCCCATTTATACGGAAAAGGATTTGGGCCAATGAAAAAAAAAAAAAGTTTGGTGATTTTTAAGTGATTTTTAAATTTTATTACAGTTTAGTATGGGGAAAAAAGTCAGAATTCTGACTTTAATCTCAGAATTCTGACTGAATTCTGACAATAAAAAAAAAGTCAGAAATCTGAGATTAAAGTCAGAATTTTGAGATTAAAGTCAGAATTCTGAGAATACTAAACTGCCATACTAAACTGAAATAAAATTCAAAAATCTGTAAAAAAAGATTTTTTCCCAGTGGCCCAAATCCCCTTCCATACATTTAACTGAGAATAATGTAGGCAAGAGTAATATTTAGTGAGGTCATTCAAATTCTAGAACGACAACAACAAGGTAAGACTAGCCTTCCTTGAATATTTTTACCAAATTGGTGAAAACATACATACAGTTAGCCAATAAAAGAATACGTGGTGAGAAATATCTCAACATAAAATGTGTTTGTTTTTTTCTTTTTTGTTTAAAGGTATATTGGATGATTTTCACCAATTTTTAAAAAGACCTGCCCTCTCCACTGTAAAGAAAATATGCACAACCCTGTACCGGCTCCCCGGAAGGAAACGCCTATTAAACCCGTGCGAGAGCATGCATGGGCCCGTTTCTCCTCATGCACATTCTGTTAAAAAGTTGCTGTTTGCATCGCTCATACAAGCTAACTTTCCAAAAGTAGATTTTCAATTTTTTCACTATGTCAGACTCACCGTCTTATCGGTGGAGAGGGAATATGGGGAAGAGGACAGCCTTACATAAACATATCACCAGAATGATTGACAGTTAGGAGGACCACTTATTTTGATGATCCGCCCGGATAAAAAAAAAAAAAAACATCATCCACTATACTTTTAATGCAAGATGCAAACTTGTTTTATTTTCTATCCAAGTTCAATAACATTTTTGCAAAGCCAGAGACAAAACCAATAATATATTCAGTGACAATATACACACTTTACAAGAAGACGAAGGCTCATGTTTTTGATATCTCCTCTTTGTAAAGCATGCTCAAGCATGAAAGTGAAATACACTTTTCAGGTGGATAGAACTATCAAACTTAGCTTAGATTCATGACTTTAACCAAATACAGACATGGAATGGTAAAAGAGACATCTGACCCATCTTGACTTTGTCACGTATGAATGTTAATGGCACTGTGTCGCTACTTTTCATGGATTTGAGTCAGAAGCAGTCGGATGAATTCTGAAGTCATTAAGACAACTGTCACCTCAAATTCTGTCAAATTCAGCAAAGATTATCGGGCTGTGCTTCTCAATTCATATAACCCAAAGGGCAACGGAGGCCTTTTTAAAGGTGAAAGAGTAAAATATCTTTCAGTGACTGAGTCGATCAATTCTACTTAGGCCATTCAGGTTCACCTTTTGAAGCCTAAAAATAAAAAATACCCACAAAGCAAATAAAGGTCAGTCTAAACTTAATACTGAATAAAACCTTTTTAGTAGAAATACAAATATTAACAAAAAACAAAAATACTGAGAAAAGTACATACATCTGTACCATTGAATATTTTTGAACATAATTTAAAAAAATACTTTTTCCTCCAGCAAAAGGTTTTCCAACCATTAACGTGTTTTGATGCAAACAAACCTTGTAAACATATTCACGTCACTTAAGATTGTTTGCATTTTGATACATTACATCCACAGACATCAGTGGACTGTATCACATGACAAACCACACAGATGTAAGGCATGAAACAGAAATAGAATGGAATGAAATTACACATGGTTTTATTGTTTACATAAAAAAGATATGGAAAAAAGTTGTATGCAGTTGTATTCTTTGCAGTTTAGAGCTTGTCTCCAGCTTGGACATCTAGGAACCGAGATATATTTGCAACATTTCTTACACGGAATCTTAAGATCTAAGAAGCTACTTATTTTGTCAGATTAAGGCCTGGACTTTGACTGGACCTTTTTACGTACATGAGTATGTTTCAATCAAATTGCATAATTGTAGCAGTTGTTTGATATGTTGTTGTCAAGCTGGAGGATAATGCTTCACCTCAATTTCAAGTTGGAGCCTCTTGGAGTTTTTTTTTTCTTCTTCTTCTTTTTTGTAATAGAAGCTCTTGAAGAGGATTAGGGCCAGCGGAAAAAAAAAAAAAAAGTTAACTTATTTTTAAATTTTATTTCAGTTTAATATGGGAAAAAAGTC